CTGCGGAAAAAACAAGACATGAACTTAGCTTCTGTTCCAGAAGGCCGATAAGGACCAGCCCATCAGTGAGGATCGGTTCAGCAGGAAAACGGAATTAAGTATTCTTAAAAAGGCACTTAAACCTTTTTTTCTCTGAAACAGGCAGAGAAACTGTGTGGAAAGTGTCGATTCTGAACGGTTTGAGTTTGATGAAGTTCAAAACAAACAGAAACATGTCTGAAGTGCAGACTCAGAGTGAGGCAGCAGAGAGAAACAGTAGACAGAGGCAGTAGAAAGAGGCAGTAGAGTGAGGCATAGAGAAATACGGTAGAGAGGCAGTGGAGAAACGCAGTAGAGATAGGCAGCAGAGCGATGCAGTGGAGAGAGGCAGTACAGAGGTAGCAGAGTAAGGCAGAAGAGAAGAGCATTAGTAGAGGCTGTAGAAAAAGCAGTAGAGGGTGCAAAAGAGAGAGGCAGTAGAGAGGCAACAGAGAAAAGTGAGAGTGCGAGAGAGTCTGAAAAAACAGAACCCCAGTCTTTCTCTGTAGCCGTTAGCGCTGCGTGTGCAGCGGCGCAGGGGCTGATGGGTAATTGCAGGCTGTAGAAGGCGGAGCTCCAGCTGCAGCCACAGGAGAGTCTGATCAGCGCGGAAAAAAAAACATTTCCCAAAAACCAAACCGGCCTGGCACTCGCTCACTGCTTCCACCAGGAATAGCCTCGCCGCAGCCTCGCCACAGCCCGCTGCAGCCCGCCGCCCCGTACCAGTATAAATAACTCAGCTAACCTCTCTCTCTCCCCTTCTCCCTCTCTCTCTCTCTCTCCCTCTCTCTCTCTCTCCCTCTCTCTTTCTCTATCTCTCTCCCTCTCTCTCTCTCCCTCCCTCTACCTCTCTCTCTCCCTCCCTCTCTCTCTCTCTCTCCCTCCCTCTCTCTCTCGCTCTCTCTCCCTCTCTCTCTCTCTCTCTCTTTCTCTCTCTCCCTTCCTCTCTCTCTCTCTCTCTACCTCTCCCTCTCTCTTTCTCTCCCTCTCTCTCTCACTGTAGGCAGGATGTAAACAAAACTGCAAATCCATCATGAAGTCAAAACTACAATCAGACCCTCCAGCCGCCATTAATCATGTGTCATTGGCTATGCTATGCTATGCTACGCTACGCTGCAGCCGAACGGGTTTAGGGTTAAGTCAAATAGAGCTGCTCCAGGACAATAAAGGCACAGTTATATATATTAAAAATAGCATTTCCTCCGTGAGCCAAACGCAGATGATCTGCTGGCTTGTTTAGTGTCTGAAGTTCTTCAGTTCTGTACCAATGTAGCAAAGAGGCTACCAGAAACTTACGCTACATTCGACTGAAGCTCATAAGTCTGCAATTCTGATCTCCAACAACAACAACAACAACAACCCCCAAACAAGCTGGGACAGTGTTTATGACATCAAATCAGTATGGCTGCTCACATCGTCAGCAGTAATAAAGAACCAGCTATATTTAGGTATGTAGTTAGCACCATGCTAATTAGCACGGTACAATGCCTCTATGAGATCCGCCTCACATACATCAACACAGACACAGTAGCTGGCTGACTCCATAACAGACCATGAAGTCAGCTGTTTTGTGAAGGTAAATAAATCAATGTTTTATGTTAGCACTCATGTTACTCACGTTAGCTGGCTAGCTTGTGGCTAACAATGCCACTTGTATGAAGGTGCAGACGCTTTTCCCACTTTCTAGCTCAGAATTCTGAGCTCTGACTTCTCAATTCTGAGTATGCTAATTAGTGTAATCCCTAACAGACTCGCTTATGTGTTTATTGACACAAAAGCCCAGGCAAAATGGAGGCTTCAACTACATTTGGGCAAAGAGGCCCTACTGAAAAAAAACAGCACTGGTCTGTGCTGGTTTATGCTGGCTGACCAGCATCCCTTTTTCAGTTTTTGGCATAATTTGAAAACGCCTGTTGTCCTTTACACTGTGTGTCAATTTCAGGATGAGTGGACCAAAAGAAACGGTTCAAAATGGCTTGGAAAGACGTCTGGTTCCATTGACTTACATTAAAAGTAGAGTTGGTTTTTTCCTTCTGGAGATACGAGGTTTTGTTCTGACAGCAGCGATATGCTGGTTTTGCTGGTGGCCAGGCATGCTGGTCTATTCTGGACTAAAAGCTGCGAGGCTCCACCTTTAGGTTTAGAAAGGCCTCTGAAGAAGTGTACTGGGTGAACGCACACACACACACACACACACACACACACACACACACACACACACTGATCTGTCTAACAGCTGCTCACACATACTCAAATACACCTCGAGGAGTGACGGAGATCAGGCAGATGACGTTCTTGATCTTTTTCGGCAGACGGCTAAACATCATCACCTCCGATATGAGAAGACGTCAGTCTTACTGAGAAGCTAACTATAGCAGCAGCAGGCCGGGTATGTAAGGGGGTCTCGTGAGGGGGGCTGCACAATATGGAGTTTGTTAATCAGTATATTGCTTTTTACCAGACTGACTGTGCTGAGCATCCTGACCAATCACCAAAAAAGACTTCAGTCAAAAATACTCACATACATCGCTGATGAGTTTTCAGTGTGTTCAAAGACTCTTTACTGAGTGTGTTTGCATGCACTCAATAATCCGATCATAATCCGATTTCTGCAGTTATCTGATTATTCAAATGGTCATGTAAACAGCACACTCTGATTTCTTAGATCGCAGTGAGGTCTAGAAATCCGAATAAGAAATCCGATAAAGAGGCTGGATTTTAGCTCAGTGATCAGATTTCTCAGTGCATGTGAACTCTTACTCTGATTTCTTTCAGATTTCTCAGTCTGTGCATGTGTGAAAACAGACGGCAGTACTGGAAATAAGCGAGCAGCGTCGTCGCGAGACGCAGCAAAACACTTTTAGAGTGACGCTGAAACCAAATACATGCTTGACGAAATGAAGGATTTAAATATTCTTCATCTTCTAGGTGATGTTTGTTCACATTTTCAGGTAAAGAGGTGCGACATTTTTAAAAAAGCCGCATGAAGTTTGAGTTTTACATTACGTTTACGTCTCGTCTTCTTCTGTGAGTTTATTGGCTGGTTGTAAAGCAGAAATCTGATTACCGTCTGACTCATGTAGACCTGGAGTTTCCCCATTATCTGATTACCCAAGTGCATGTAAAGGCGGACCAGATTACTGACAAAATCTGACTTACTGCAGTTATCGGATTATTAAGTGCATGTAAACACACTGAGTGTCACAATATTTTCAAATATTGTACAATTTTTTACAAAAACTTAAAAATATCACAATATGACTTTTTCCCAGTATCGCTCATCCCTACAGTGTTTCAGCTCCATTTGAGCTAATTAATTCTTTATCTAATATCATTTTTCAAAAGAATTATTGTGAAAAGAGCGATAATTAGCTCAATTTGACAAATGTTTAGCTGTGTACATTTTCAACTTTCTGTCTGTTTTTTAAATATCACAATATTTACTGCAAAAACGTAAAATATCACAATGTCACATTTTCCCCAGTATCGTTCATCCCTACAGATTTTCCACTGTTGGAGTGAAATTAGCCCCATTTAGGTCTGTGTTAATTAGGCACATTTGTTTGGTTCGTTTTTTAGCAATATTTATGGCAACAATCTAAAACATTGCAATGTGACATTTTATGCCAATATCGCTCATCTCTAGAGTGATTTTCCATTGTTACAGTGACAATTAACCCTGGATTAATTGGGTCAATTTTTGACCCCATTTAACTTTTCAAATATTGTAATATTTATTACAAAAACCTAAAATATCACAATGTGACTTTTTCCCAGTATCGCTCATCCCTACAGTGTTTCAGCTCCATTTGAGAATAAGCTAATTAATTCTTTATCTAATATCATTTTTCAAAAGAATTATTGTGAAAAGAGCGATAATTAGCTCAATTTGGCGATAGTTTATTTGGGTAATTTTCTAACTTTTTTGCTGGTTATCAGATGTTTCAATATTGAAATTACAATATCATACAAAATATAATAAATATCATATTAAAATGTGATTTTTCACCAATATCATTTACCCATAGTGTGTTTTCACTGTGAGGGTGATAATTAGCTCAATTTGACAAATGTTTAGCTGTGTACATTTTCAACTTTCTGTCTGTTTTTAAATATCACAATATTTACTGCAAAAACGTAAAATATCACAATGTCACATTTTCCCCAGTATCGTTCATCCCTACAGATTTTCCACTGTTGGAGTGAAATTAGCCCCATTTAGGTCTGTGTTAATTAGGCACATTTGTTTGGTTCGTTTTTTAGCAATATTTATGGCAACAATCTAAAACATTGCAATGTGACATTTTATGCCAGTATCGCTCATCTCTAGAGTGATTTTCCATTGTTATAGTGACAATTAACCCTGGATTAATTGGGTCAATTTTTGACCCCATTTAACTTTTCAAATATTGTAATATTTATTACAAAAACCTAAAATATCACAATGTGACTTTTTTCTCAGTATCGTTCATCCCTACAGTGTTTCAGCCCCATTTGAGAATAAACGAATAAATTCGTTACTTTTCTGCCATTTTTCAAAACCATGATATTGATTATGAAAACTTAAAATATCACGACGTGACATTTTCCTAAGTATCGTTCAGCCCTACAGTGTTTTACTCTTGGTGGGGTGATAATTACCCCCCCTTAAGACGAGGTCAATTGGGCACATTTTTGTCTCCTTTCTCTCTTTTTCAAATATTGCAGTACGTCTCGTAAAAAACAGAGAATACTGTGACTTTTCCCCCAATAATGCTCCATCCTAGTGCGTGTGTGTGTGTTTCCTCTCAGAACTGAGGTGTTCTTCATCTCTTGGCAGGACATACTCAAACCGAGCACTCGAGAGACTCCCGCAGTCCCTACCCACGATCCATTTCTTCCTCCGGAGAAAGCACGGTCTCCTCTGGTGTGGGCCAGCGATAATTACAGCGTTGTCATTGTAGGGAGACGAAAAACAAGAAAGTAGAAGCGGAAAGTAAAGA